GAATTAACGTTTAAACGTTAACAATTGAATGAACTTTTTTTAAAAACTTCGTTGTTGATCAGACATTAAATTTGTATTAAAGAAATGTTAGGAACGTTTTTGAAGTTAAAATTCTGTAAATAAGTTAAAATTCTGTAAATAAAGCAAAAAGTTAAAATTCTAAGTTAAAATTCTGTAAATAAAGCAAAAAGTTGCGTTTCTAGCAACAAAGCTTCGCGGTGCTCTGTAATAAGACTGTAAGGACGTCTTGGGGTACCTAAAATAAACATTAAAAAAAAAAAAAAGTTTTATAACAAAACTACCGTTACCCGGATTTGAAAACTTAAAACAGATTACAGTTTTGTTAGGCAATTCTTGTGATTAAATTATTTTACTTTTTTTAGCATAACTTTTTGTAGAATTGTTATTTTGTTATGAAATTTTCACTATTGTAATGCTTATTTAAGCCTTTTTCCAATTATATATAATAATCAATAATAAAAATAGTTTAAAATTTTGACACACGTGTCTACATTTTCTATTTCTATTTCAATTTTTATTTTTATTTTTATTTTTAAATTTAGTTTCCCCAAGAAGCCCTAACGGTTTTGTTTCAGAACACCGTGGAAGTGCATTTATTTAAGAAGTTTACGCTTCCTTCCTTACCGTGACGTGAAAATATGTCCAGAGTTTGTTTCGAATCTGAATCACCTGCTTCTATAGCAAGTGCTCTAACTACTGCGCCACAGCCGCAAACTTGAAAATTTCATGTCACATATCTAACTTTAGGAAGTTTGTTTATCTTTGTGATAAACAGAATTAAATGATCCAGCAAGGCAAGTTTAGCATTCGGCTTCATAATCATTTCTCTCTTTCTTAAATCTAGAAAACGATATTATGGACGACATTTTTAAAAGTGCAGCTATTCTTTTACGTTTTTAAACTTTAAACTTGAAGTTCCTTTTTGTAGTAGCAACCAAAATACTTTATAACCATAATGCAATTAAACGGTGGCTACTTTTATTTTCGTAAGTTAGGATGCGCGCGCGTTTGTTAATTTTTTTTTTTTTAATTTGTTATTTAGGTGCCCCAGAAGTCCTAATGGTCTTGTCATAGAGCACCGCGGAAGTGCATTTAACCAGGAAGTTCACGCCTCCTTCCTTATCGTGACGCAAGATATGTCCAAAGCTCGTTTCTAACTTGGATCTCCTGCTTATAAAGCAAGCGCTCTAACCACTGCACCACGGCCGTAAAAAATATTATTAGAGTAACAAAGAGAAGAAACCGCGTTTTATTTGGCATTCTCAGTAATTAGAGTGACTAAAAACATTTTACATTTAATAATTTTTAGATTTTCCACTATATAAAAACCAAAGATTTAAGTATATGAAATTTTTATAGAAATTATATAGAAACCTCCAAAAAGAGGAAATTTCAATTTTTTTCTGAAATCCCACGGAGCCTTATTTTTTGCCTTAAAGTTGGGATCTCTAAGCAAATCCAGGGATATGGGAACCTTATATGTTGACATCCTCAATAACATCATTCTGTCCTATGTTGTTGAAGATATGCCGCTAAAATGGGTCTTTCAACAAAATAAAGATCAAAAGTACACTAGTTTTAAGGCAAATCATTGATATGACTTTTTTTATTCTTTTAGATTTGAGTGTCAAAATAAATATAATAATCTTTTTAGAAAGTAGTGAAAAAATTGTTCAATATAATTCAAAAGATTCCATGTAATGCTATTTCCTCACTATTGCTCACAGCTATCTATCTATCTATTTATCTATATATATATATATATATATATATATATATATATATATATATATATATATATATATATATATATATATATATATATAAATATATATATATATATATATATATATATATATATATATATATATATATATATATATATATATATATATATATATATATATATATATATATTTATATATATATATATATATATAAACCAAAACATATACAAAATACATACCGGAAAAGACGAAGCTATTATTATAAACTCAATCAAAATTAGACTTAGTCGAAAACTCAGTAGCTTGAAAATTCACTGGATCAAAAATACTGTAGTTTCACAATTCAGTATGTCGAAAAATTAGTAGTACATGTTTTAATTAGGTGTAAATGTAAAAATCAAAAGTTGTCAGTTGAAAATCAAAATTGTTATAATCTACGATTAATGAAATTTCAAAATTATGTTGAATTATAGACCACCGATAATATTGCTGTATTTTATAAAAATATTACGTTTTGGTTGCACAGACGAAGTTTGATTAACTTTTCTAATTGAATTTTAATGAAGACCGAATACCAAATATTTATTAAACTTTGTAACCGAAGTTTAACGAATGCTAGGTATTTAAAAACTTTTGGTTATAAAGTTTAAATACACTGAATATTTGTTAAACTTTGCAACCGATGTTTTACAAATATTTGTTAATAGTAAAAATTTAGTCACTAAATGTGCATTTTGTTTCACTTTTTTTTACAAAAGATAAAATCTAGTTTAAACTTTAAACCTGATTTTAAATTTGTTAAATTTATTTTAAACTCTTACTAAAATACAACAAACTTTATTAAAATGATTTTTTTTTGTTGACCAGATTCTTAAACTTTAAAGTTTATGAATCTGGTCAACGCCTAATTGTTTTTGAAATTCAGACCTTCCAACCTATTTTTTAAAACCTTGAGAGTCATTGAAAAATATCTTGGGATTTACACAAAAACCTAGATACACATTAATTTTTTTTTTTAAGTTTTTATTTTTCAAAAAAGAAAAATTAAAAGTTTGATAAACATTAAACTTGTTGTTATTCATTGTATTTAAAATTGAAAATTTATGTCGTTTTCTTTGAGGATTTTAACAGCTATTGAGGGGATTTCCTTACAATGCTAAACAACCTTTCCAATTCAGCATTAGGGGTCGTCCATAAAGTACGTACGCCCATAGGGGGAGAGGGGACGTCTTCAAATAGCGTGCGAAAGCGTATGAGAGACAGGGGTGGGTTCAATTTAAAAAAACGTACATCAATTTTCTAATTTATCACAATTAACCAGCTAATCAATATAAAAATTATTATTCTAAAGATCCTAGTTTGCCAACATAAAAAGATGTTTGGTATAGGGCAATTGTGCAAACTCTAAACTTAAGTATGTTTATACCTATCCCAAATAAGGAGGCTTTGCAAAAAAGTTAAGGCAGAGGCCTGGGATTTTGTATGGTCATAACTTTTGTAATTTACAATATTTTTCTACGAAATTTAAAACCTAGAGAAAAATTTAAATTTAGTTTTAGATTGTAAAGCTAAAATTTTACTACATTAGTGCCCTCACGCTTGGGCAGAAGGCAAGCGTTTTAGGGCTTTTTGTTCCCAGGCCTCTGCCATCCTAATTTTTTGCAAATTCTCCCCATTTGGCATAGTTATACTTAAATTTTAGAGCTTGCACAAATTCCAAAAATTGGCATAGGCATACTTATGCTTGGAACTTGTGCAAGCTCCAAACTTAAATATACTTATGCCAAATGTGTGAAGTGTCCTATCTTGAATATCAAAAAATCCTGCGGACGCCCATGCACACATGCCACTCCTTATATACTGGCCCTTATTAAGGCGTATTTCAGGCAATCTATTTTTTGAGTTGGCAAAAAACAGGTTTTAGCAGTGCCGTGGCTAATGAATCGTCTCAAAATCTCCCATATTTTACCGCTAGGTTTTGCTACAATAAAAAGCTCCTTTAATTAGCAAAAGTGCACAAAATTTTGTGCCGTTCTTTTCTTCTACCACACAATTTAAGGAGTACGGGTTGTCTATCCTCGGCACTTGGTTTTAGGCTTTGTTTTTAATATTACTGATCTCTCGTAGGACTCGTTTTTTACGGACTTACTAAATAAGGGTGCCTGAAAAAAACCAGCGTCTTAAATATAGTTTATTTTTATACGATTTGTCATTAAAAAAAGAAATAGCTCAGTATGAATCGACCGGGGATCGAACACCGGTCTTCGTTGTCACAGGTCACAGCATTACCTGCTCGACCAAGCGAACATATTATTAATGAGTTATTTAACTTTATTTAAATTAATATTTGCATATATATTTGAAAACGTTTCTTAAATTGGGATCCTGTGCCGCAAACACAGAGCTTTTGGGTTGTATAAAGTATCTAAGGTACCTCCTCCACTTTTTTTTTTCCACAAACTTTTTCATTGAAAAAAAAGGTCGGGGGAAGATATTTTAAAAACTTACGTACATTTTAATACCGGGAAGGACTTAGAAGAACGCATGGCAATAGGGGAAAGGGAGGTGTGACAAATTTCAAAATTTTTGGCGTATATACTTTATGGACAACTCCTTACAATGAGGATTATTATTCCTAAGGTATCTGAAAAGATTTTTGATGATATTTATTATAAGAAAATTAGTATAAATGATTTAAATAAATTAAAATACTTCGGGTCTTGATTTTTAAAAACACACAAACGCTGGATTTCCTCACAAAAAAAAAGTGTTGAACATATTTTTGCTTTAGGGCCATTTTTAAAATTTCGGATTTGATTTATAATATAAACAAACCCATGATTAAAGCTATATGTTAGTGCCGGTTTATGATCTAACTTGTGGACTCAATTTTCATTAGTTCTTGATTTAACGACAACTTTTTCTCGGGACTTATATTGTTTTGAGCGAAAGAAAATTTGAAAAAAAAAAATTTAATTTTCAATATTCATCATGAGAACTTTGGATTAACCGTGAGACCGTGGGATTTTTATCAAACCGTGAGTCTCACGGTAAAACGTGGAGAGTTGGAAGATCTACAAATGCTTGCGTATACCCAAGATACCTCCCCCAAGGATACTCCTCTTGTCTAATAATATCTGGCTATATCCCGGTTGAGTTAAAAGTGTACAACGTAATTTATTTTATCAACTTGAGCAAATTATTGAGCCTATAAATAACAAAAAAAAAAAAAACATAAAAACACATAAATACCAAGCCAGTAACTCCCAGTTACATCTTTTTTGAGCTGTTCTTTAATGAAAGCATTTTCTTCTTTATTGCCAATACTTAACAATTTTCCACCATAGTTTTTACACGATAAAAAAGATTCATACCAACTTTTTCCCTGTTCCTTATCACTTGCATTATGGAAAAAATAACAATAGGTTCCATTTTGTATCCAACCATCAATACAATTAACATTATTAGTTTCTAAAAATTAAAAGTTTAAAAAAAAATAACTTTTTTGATAAATTTTTATACTTCAACAGACTATAGTAAAACAAAAAAGTTTGAATATGCTTATATTTGAGTTGATTTCTTATGTGACAGCATAATAACTGAACTAAGCAAATTTAGTAAATAAAGATATAAGATAAAGTAAGATTTTTCCTCTTTCCCCCCCCCCCCTCCCCTGCCTCCTCCATATTAAGCAATAATTTTGTACCACCACAAAATCAAGAAATCCCCTCTTCCCCCCTCCCCATCGTCCTTCGTATCAAATTGTCACAAAATTGCCTACCTTTAGGCAATTTTGAAAATGTTAGCGGTTATCTTTGAATATTAATTTTAATGAACATTTGGCGATGAGGTCTTTTGGTAGGTTTAGGGAAGTACACTACCTCATTTACGGGTATTTATAAAATATATGTTGTGGTTGCAAATTGTAAATATATTATGGTTGATATTTGTAAACAATATTTGCAGTCAGATGAAAAAAAAGTAACATTAAATAAACGATTGAAATTGTTAGTGTCTCAGAACAACTCATGAGAATTCCCCGCACTAAAAGGTGGCATTTCAGGACTCAAAAGGAATCAACGAATCTACGAATCTACGAAAATCTACGAAATCTACGAATCTACGAAAAAAGGAATCTACGAATGAGCGAAAATGGAATCAAAAAAAAATTAAGAGAGAGAGATCAACATAAAAAAATAAACATTAAATCCAGAGAACGAAACGCGGTGGCTTTCGACAAATTGACAATAATCATGGCACACAAGATGAGCTGACCAGGAAAAAAGTTGGATGACGGCAAAAATATTGATTCGGTAGTAGAATGACTCTCAAAATCAGATAGAAGTTGAAGCGGCAACATTATATTTTTAATTGAGATTAAAAAAATAATGTTGGATAAATTCGGCGCTATAAATACAAAAGAAGTCGTCAAAAAATGGGAATTTAAAAAAACAAACTGTGGGACCAGCTTCATTGCAGAAAACTCATGGAAGTGAAAACAAAACTACGCAGCAATCTGATGCATCTGTAGAGACTATAAAGCCTACTTACAATTTTAGAACCAATTCTAATTGATTTTAAAACCAATTCATGGTAGAAATTGATAACTCAAACAAATCAAACAGCAGCAAGTCCAATTACATATTGGAACTTGTTAAAGGAAAACTCAAAGATGGCATACTTGGATTACCACATTTGTTGGATGGATACGAAGAAATAAAACGTATATTACAAGGCATTTATGGAAAAGACATTTGGGTTCATAAACCGTTAATTAGAGATCTTGAAAATATAACGGATATAAACAACATGCAAAAAATCAAAGAATTCACGATTTTTACAACAAACTTTCAAAAACAGTACAAACATTAAAAACGATGCACAAACCGGACTCTGCTCAATCTTTTGTGTATTCATTGATATGTGTATTTTTGTGTATTAATTGATAAGTTTGTGTATTAATTGATAAGTTTGGACCAGTTCGTGAAATACTAACGGAAAACGATGGCGGATGGGAAGAATGGGGACTGGAGTTACTTGTCAAAAAGCTGTAAAAATAATTGAACGACATCCATTAAACTCAACTTTCAAAACAAAAGAAGAAAGAATAGAATACAAGAAAAGAAACGCAAATGTGCAGTTACGGTCTTATGAACATCAAAGCACTGCATTTAAGCAATTCAAAAAAGGTAATTAAGATGAAACAATGATAACAAGTTTTTGAATGTGTTTACTGTGGGTTACCAAATCATAAATGCAAAGATTGCACAAAAGTGCTGAACGTTTCAAGACAGTTTTAACAATTAAAAGATTATGTTACAACTGTATTGGTTATGGACTCTACAGCAGTGTATTGGTTTTGGATAATCTGTAGCATATTTTCAATCAAGAGAATGCAGGAAATACAGTAAAAAAAAATTACACGTCAATCTGTCAAAACGTCAATTCAATAATGGATAGTAAAGTTGAAAATAAAAAAGAAACCATGTAAACGATGTTTAACGCGAGTAAAAATATTCACTTTGATAATAACTTGAAGGTGAACAAACGTTCAAATAGCGTTACGCCAAAATCATTAACGGTACCGGAATTTTGCATCAAGACAAAACACGTCAACAACAAAAAAAACTGACTATTTTACTCAATCCGATGGTCAAAGAAGTAAAAATGAAATTTGAAAAATGAGGTGATTAAAATTCAGTGACGATGATTTGCAACCTGTTCATATAATCCTCGTTGTTGTTAATTATCAACAAATTATGGAACCGGTTTAAAAAAATGGAAAAGACCCAGATATAGATACAGGTGCGGAATTGACTATGTTGGGATGGACTTACTAGGAGACGTATACAATTATGTTCAGTTATTGAAAACACTAGTTGTGAGGATTTTGAGCAAAATTGTAGTCTAGAAGTACTTGGATTACCAGACCCAAACAGTGAATCGATGTTTCACCAAGATTTTAGCAAAAACTAATCTAAACCAACGAAGGATATCATGAAACTAGGATGCCCAGGAAAAAGAGTGTTGTCATACTGCCAGACAATAGAGATTGTTTGGCTTAAAAAACTTAATAAACTAAGAGTATAATGACATAATGATGAAACAGATTAATGAAGGAAGTAGTACCAGAAAAACCTACAAGAAAGATCATTTACTACAACCCTCGTCAAGCGGTAATCAAAGAAAATGCTGACTCAGCAAAAGGAGAGTTTTTTATGATTGTTCAGCTCAAAAAGACGCTCAATCACCTTTATAAAACGAATGCCTAGACATGGGACAACTACTGCAGCCACTAATATTTAACAATCTCAAAAGAAATTTGATGAACAATCAACGTATTAGCTAACATACAGAAAGCATTTCTCCAAATTTGAATTCACCAAACGGATTGAGACGCACTGCGGTTAATTTGGTTTAAATACTTAGAAAAAAACAACTAGCAAAAACAAAAAAGAAATAAAAACATTTGAGTTAATGTCCTCTACTATGCTTGTATGAACCTAAAATACAACTTCACGACACCCCATACCTACGTCACGACACCCCATACCTACGTCAAAGTATACTAAAAATAGCGAGCCAGTAAAAAATGAAAGTAAAAAAAAGAAAACTTAAAAAAAAAAGTTATTAATATTAAAAGTGTATTTTGCAACAGTTTTAATTTATATTAGTGAAAAAAAGAAACATATTGCGAGTTTTATTTTGATCTTTCATAAGGAGATTTTAGAGTTTACTTTAAGCACTCAAAATGATCTGTGAAAAGATTTTACAACATTTATTTTCTGCTTAAGTGATCATCAAAGTCATAATTATGATTTCATAATCATAACCACGATGATCATGGTCTTCATTATTTAAGTACAAAATAATAGTTTAAACTCACCTGATATTTTAAAGCTAAAACGGTTTTTATAATCTACTGAAGTATTTTCATCAACAATATATAAACGACGATTACAACTGAAGATGAAATAATTTGGATAGTTGTAGGATTGAATTACTGTGAAGTTTTGATAGAACTTGTGTTCTTGCAATATAAATGATGCATCATTTTTAAATAAGTCTGATGATTCGTACTCCAAATAGATCTTATAATACTTGTGACGAAAATACGTTTCATTTAATGGAGATTGAAATGATACGGTATTATCAATACCATTTAGCCCTATTTTGTTAAAACATGCAAAATAAATAATGCAGGTAAATTATTGAGAAAATTTGTAACATAATCGCAGATTCTTTTTACCTTTGGAAACTTTTCGAAATTTGTGAACATTTTTAAAAAATGAATTCTTACCTTTGACAACTTTTAAAAAAATAGGAAAATCATAAGTTGGAGCAGTGTTGTCCAAAGTGTATGAACTGCAATTGTCCTCAATATTGTTTTCGTATTTTGTTTTAAACGAGTACACCTTATTTAAAACTAAAGAAAAAAAATTTTTTAAATGTAACGAAACACATCAAAAAAAAAGTACCACGTAATATAAAAATCTCATCAAGGTTTTGTTTGTTATTATTATTATTGGGCCTAATGTGGCGAGTAATTAGACAGCATATTACTATTTCTATTACTCTATTTTACTGGTCCTCAGTACTGTAAACTAAACTTAAAAATATTAATGAAAGTTTATATTTGAAATAATATTTATTTATAAAAAATTATACTTGCCTATTGACGTTTCTTGTTTCTTTATGAAGTGCAATGAAATCAATATCTTAAAATTAAAAGAACAAAAAACGATAAAACGGTAATATTATGTCAATCTATTTTATACATAATTTATCAATTATGTGTAAATTTAAAACAAAAAATCTCAATAAGTTATTCTACATGTTCTTGAGGTTATAATTTTAACTACTGGTATTGTAATAATAAATCTAATACACATTACTCTTTCATATTATTACTGAGCTAATAATGCTCACTCGTGCGGGTTTTTCACTGAATTCTTGGTAGCCAATAAAGCCAACACGGTGCATAGGAAGATGCTGTGAAACCTTGCAACACATCACTAGAAATTTTTTTTGTTGTTTTTATGAAAAGACTCTTCTTTATTTCAAAAATGTAAAAAAAAACTTTTTTCACCGGGGGTCTAAGGAGAAATCACGTATTTAGATGAAAGCAAATGCTCTTTTTAAACCTCCAGTGGTTATTGGAAAGAACTTTGATGGAAAAAATTGAGTTTTCCTGGAACAAGATCAAAGATGTAGCACATGGGAAAGCTTCTCAAACACACATGTCTTTTTGGGAATCAAAACTGGATGAATTTCTAGATATAACATGTGCAAGTGTGAAATTATGTTATGTAACGAGTTGTGTTTGAAAACTTATTCTTGCGTCGAACATGTACATATTAAATGAACTTGTGTAAAAGAGAAAAAAATTCCAAAGGTTGAACTTCTATGGCTTAATGCACAAAGGAAAAAAAAAGGATCTATTTCAAAATACCAGATGGGTTTCAATGATATTAAAGAGACCGCGAGACAGTTTTCGCGAGAGGAGAAAAAAATGAAGAGAAAGTCTGTAGTAGAGAAAAAACTAGAAACGGAAAAAAAAAATTAAGGTAAAAAATGACAACGCTGTTGAATGTTTAATTGAGGATTATTCAGATTTAAAAAAGGAAAAGATTTCAGAAGATACGCTTTAAAACAAGGTTTGGAAAAAAAATGTCAATAAGTCATATTGCAGAAGCTTCAATAAGATATGATATTTCACCAGTAGCTATTATTACATCCTTTCTTCTAGACCTTATTGAAGCAAAGTGTTTGATGCCTGATATGTCTTATTTACCTGTTGATCCTATGAAAGTAAGAAGAGCAAAGGAAGAAATAATGGAGAGAGTAATAATGTATGAAGAAAAGTTAATCGACAAAGAACCTATTAGAGGTTTGTTTATTGATGGCAGGAAGGACTCAAATTTTATTTCGGAACAGAATCCTCTAACAAATAAATTTCACATGAGGAATATAAAAGAAGAACATATAACTGTGACGTGTGAGCCTGATGGAAGATACCTCACGCATTACACACCACCTAAAGCTATACCGCCAAGCAAAATCAGCTCGGAATCCCTTATATTAACTCTTTTGTCAAGTTCAGATGAAGAATTGAGGAAGTTTACCATTAAAACAATTAAAGATATAAGGAAAACCTCGCAGTTCAGGGACACAGCAGTAAGGTCAAGAAAAAAGGTTTTTCTCAATACAGAAGCTTTGTCTATCAAAGAGCTAATAGATTGGGAGAAGGAAAAAATATCAGAACCAGTGTTTACGTGCCAAATCTCTACATACGATCTTAAAAAATAGCTGGTCACTCGCTTTGAAGTTCTGTACTTTCCTCTTCACACGCAATCTTTTGAAAGGGCAGTAAAAGAAGTTACAGAAGCAACACTTTCCGTTTGTGGTTTTGAAAAAAGAGACGGTTTTGTGAGAGCAAATAACGGTTAAAAACTTTGCCCAAGCTTTAATCAAAAAAAAATTTTAGTAACCTTTTTATATCAAAATCGTAAACCAAAACATTTTTATGACAATATTATAACTTAAATTTGTTTTGTATTAAATATTATAAAGCTAAACGATGTTGTTAAGTTGAACTATAAAAACTTCGTTCCAACAAATAAAGTCTGAAAATTTATTATGAAAAAAGTTCCAATTTTCATATATTTTTTCAATCTTATAAGGCCTTTTTCCCTGCGAAAATTTATTTTTTTTTAGAAAAAAAAATTATTCACATTTCAGAGCATATAATAATATATAAAAAAAATCTAAATAGTTTCATATTTCAATAATTTTAAAATTTTGACCCCTCTTGCATTTATGCATAAATGAACAGTTTTACCTTTTCGCAAACTGCCATCCCGTCTAGGTAAAAAAAATTTTTTTCAAATTTTTTTTTTGGAAGTTTATTTTTACATATAGTGGCACCATTAAAATCATCCGCCAAATTCAAAATCAAAAATTTGAAAAGTATGATGCCCAGCCCCCACAAATTAGGGGTCCCCAAATATTTTAGAGGAGCCTTTATTTTATTTTATTATTTTTAGGCTTTTCCACATAAAACAGGCCTCCAAAAAAACAAAACACCCGAGCCGTAGGATGTCTGAATCCGTTACTGGTGGCCAGTGATGCGCTTTTACCAAAATACAACTATCTTACCTAAATAATATTTTGAAAACACTCTAAAACTCTATTAAAAAAATAAAATAACATCTTTCAAATCTATATACATTAAAAACTTAACAGAATTTATTTCTTTGTTTTTAACACGTAAGCCACTTTTAACCCAGGTAGCAACTGTCTATGTTGAGAACTAATATACCATCTCTTGCGCCTGGCCTATCTATGGTCATGGATGCAAATGTCACTTGTTTTACAGCATGCTCTGTACTTTGGGTAAAAATTTTAACTGAAGGAGTTTTTAAAGGTGTCAATCTTAGTAATTACAAGTTACCTTTTGTGAGAAAACAAGTTAAAACAGGTTCTTGTACTACAGTATTTTTATGTTTAACTATCTCTTGAAAAGTCTCGCTGCAAAGTTCTTTAGGTATTTTTCAATTGAAACAGAATGTGGAAGCACCTTTAAATTTGTTTTTTATTATGTTAAAAAAAGTTTAAAGTAATTTGTAAACAGAATAACATAGGTAGCTCTAGATTTTTTAAGTTTTACATAGCTTATAATATTGTTTTTGATGCGTTGACATCTTTTTTAGTATTGTTTCTGAAATGTTAACTAAGCTCTCTCCATCTGGACAAGTTTTAAATTGAAGATTATACTCCATTTTATAAATATTAGGATATTTTCCCGTAGGATTTACAAATCCAGTACTAAATGATGTTGGTCCATTAATTCCTTTTATTAGGTGACACAAAAATAACTTGTTTAAACTATAAGTGTTACACATCATTTAGTAAGATTATATTTTTGCTAAGAAAAACAAACAACTTAAGGAAGTTTTGTAGCTGGTTTGTCCGAATGAATACGTTCATTCGGGGTAATATGACCAAGATTTCCAGGCTAGAATTAGAGGTATTTGAAGAAAATATCAGCTTTTTTAATTAGATATTTTTCTGCTATTTGGTAGAGCATCAGGTTTTGGCGGAAAGTGAGAGTTGCAGCTCTTGGGTCATTATTTGAGCTTTGATTAGTCATTTTTTAAACATGTTATGCATTGTATGATGTATTATAATATAATGTATCATATAATTTATAATCTAATGTATATATCTAAGATAAAAAAATGACAAAAATGCTTCCTGCATTAAAATAAAGTTAGAAAAAAAGTGTTAGACATGTTGTTAGGCATTTTTCTTTTTTAATTTGATTCAGAAATTTTATAAAGATACTTTCAGTGCTTAACTTTGATAACGTTCATTTGTTTTTTATATTGCATTCTAGAACTTTTTAATTTTGTTGTGTAAAGTGATATTTTAACTGTGCAGCTTTATTTTAATTTTATACCTTTTCATTAATTCAACACGAAATTTATGTTACAGAATGATTTCGTGTTAATTTTTATTTATTAGTTTACTTTGAAAATACGTCATGAAAATAAGTGTAACTATTATTAAGTGAAATAATGTGTAACTATTATTTTTAGCCATGTTTTAAAGATTATTATTTTTATCAATGTTTTTAAGTCTAACAAAGGGTTAACCTGTTTCTCTGGTAAGACAGGAAGAGTTTTTATAGTCATTATATTTGTATAATATATTATAATCAAGGAATGAAATAGAGGAAAAGTTATTTGCATATGATTTATTCTTGGGAGTTGTAATAAGATGACACCCATGAGGTAGAGCTGGAGAATTAGATTATCCTTTGTTGTTGACACTGTTAAAGTAAGTACAGTACCTTTTTATTTTCATAAAAGTTTTGTTTTGTTGTTGTTGATAATAAGTTTTTGAATATGACTTTTTAAGGGAAGTTCATTTGTATTTTATCTTTATGTTCGCCTTTTTTCATTCAAACTGGTTTGGAAGGTAATTTTTGTAAGTTATGGAATTTATGCATAGTTATTTGATTTTGCGCTTTTTCATTTGCTTAATTCGTTTTAGATTAGTTAAAGAGAAATTCAGACACGTAGGCTTTACTCCTTTTATTTAATCTCTTTGTTTACATCTTTATAAAATATTTTACTTTAATTAATTGTAAAATCAACCATTGTTTTTAATTTAGTTATGAATGAGTCTATGAATTAGTCTGATATCGAACAAAAAGTTGCATTCTTTATCACAACTTTAAGATGTACAAGACTCAAATTTCTTATATTTTTATTGTTCCCAATATTCAACATTGCATTATGTTGAAAATATTGGAAACCATAAAAATCTATGAATTGAAAACTACAAACTAATTAGAAAAACAGAAGTTATATCATCTTCAATTTAAATTGTTTACTTAAAACCACACGATGTTTTTCAA